GGGGGGGGGGAGGGGGAGGAAGTTAAGCAGCTGTAGTAAAAAGAAGAGAAAGAAAGAAAGGAAAGATAGGTGCACAAGAAACTACACAGGTTGTGATGCCTCAGCTTTTTCTGTCAAAAGAAGCTGAGTAAGCTACAGTTCTGACCTTAACTGGTCTTGATTTAACAGGGACAGCTTTTAGTGGTGCTGGTAAGACTTATTATTTGTAGTTCCAAGCAGTTAGGAAGGTTCAAACACCCAAACTCATCTCCGTGGTTGTGGTACTGCAGAAGTCCCAGAATAGTGGGCAGGTTCTGGTGTCATCCATCTACCTTACGAAGTTTTGTACAAAGAACATTAATGTAGTAGGCAAAATTGACTTTTTGTCTCCGAACCTGAGATAAGGATGAGGGAGATACTGTTTCTGGGACTTATTGTTGATTTTGCACATTTACTTTGAAATGTTGTGTGTGATTCCTTTCTCTGAATTCTAATGTATGTTTTCTTCCCCTTTCCTTCCTTGACCACAGCTCTTGCATCTCATGATTACATATTGAAGATAGTCCCGACGGTGTACGAAGACATGAGCGGCAAGCAGCGATACTCATACCAATATACTGTAGCAAATAAGGTAAAGAAGCAGGTAGTTCTCAGAGAAGCTCCTCATTGCAGCCCAGTGGATGCATGGAGGATCTTCAGTCGTCTTTCCTCCTCCCTCTTGCGCCTCTGCTCTGCAGCCATGTGCATTTGTTTGTAGGTGAGCAGTAGCCTCTGCTGGGAGAAGGAGGAACTGAAGTTCTTCAAGCTTCCTCTTGCTCCTGGTGCTGGCATTTACCAGGGTTGGATTGTGAGGGCTTGTCAAAGCAGGTGGTGGTATTGTTTTAATCCTAGGGAAATGTAGCCTCACTCCTGACTTTCTCATATGTCAGTTTAACTGATGTACATTTCTATAAAATGGGTGGAAGGTTTTTACATGCTGCAGGAACTCTTGTGATTTGTGTCAAGATGCATCTGGGTGGAAACTGCAATGGAACTGAACATACAAAACAGCACTTACAAGTGGTTTTATTAATAAAACAGTGTTAATTGGGGTGGACATATCAGACTAAGTCAGCAGAGTGTTTAGGTTTTTACAGATGTTAATTTCACATACTAAGCCACTGAACCGAATAGGTACTGGTTGACTATTTCACAGTGCCTGCTTTATTTTAGTGGGTTATAATAGTTCTTGTAACTTTATAATTCTTAATTTACATTAAATGTGAAGATATTGGTATTTTAATAATACAATGTATTGAACTTTTAAAAAGCACCCCTATTGACTTTTTAAGGTTAAAAAGCGTCTTTCTATTTAAAACTATTTGCCAGTTAGGTGCTAAAAGAAAGTCCAGAATGTGTTTATAGTATCTAGTTCCTGCTAGTTTGCATTAACTAAGAATCAAGCATGCACTGTCATCGACTATTTGTCAGAATAATGTTCCTGTCTAGTGACTTTTGGGCTTGTACAGTGTGTCCCGATGATTTGGATGTCTCCCTGTATTCAGATTGCAATGTATTTGTTCTGCTTAATGTCACAACTTCTGATAAGACTCTTGCGACGCAAGTTCTGATAGTAATTTGGAAACTAGACAGCAGGAGCTTTTAACACTTCCATGAGCACGGTTGCAAATAGGGGCGTTCAGCCAAGACTGACTCATTAGGGCAGGATTGCTGGTGGGGAAAAGGGGAGAGGAAGGCAAAAATGAGGTCAGTTCTGTCAGAACCGAAGGGCAGAGAAACAGTGCTGCATCTGCATTTGCTTCTCATTAAAAACAAGAATTCTCTTATCAGTGCTTTAGGCCTTGTCTCCCACCCTGATCTGTGGGAAACAGAAGTTGGAAGCCATTGGAATAGTCTGGAGTAGATTGACTAGATTGGTAGAGTCTTAAGTGTGGACTGTCTGTCTCCTCTCCCCTTTTCCCTCCTAGACCCTTGTTTCCTCACTTCCCCAGATAGCCACTGTCCCAAGATACGCTGCAGAACTTATGCAGTAACAGCCCTGAAAACATCATGACTAGGGACTTCAGTCACAGTCTGCTTCTCTTGTCATCCATTGAGAAAAACTAGAGGGAAATTTGGGAATTATGAGATTAATGAAGGAGATAGATGCTGGTTCACTAGCTCCCTTTGAGCTCACAGAGAGTAAAATTAGCCTTTTTTTCCTGTCGTGCTTGTCTTTCTTCATCTTTCTTAAGTACTTGAGGTTGCCTTTGCCTCTGTGTGAAGGAGAATTAAAACAGAAAAGGTGATCTGAGTTGGCAGGCATGTCATAGGGCTAAAGAAGTGAAGAGCAGCTAGGTAAAGAGGCAGTGTGTGTTATGCCATTGCTGATGGCTCTCACTGGTTGACAAGTCCCCAGCCTGCTTTTCTTCAGTCTGTCAAGATAAATGTCCTGATCCTTGGAAATTGATATCTATTTCCATTGGGAGCACAGACAAAATACCAGCTCAAAAAGAAGTGATGCTAAGTTGATGTTAGTATCTGTTCTACGTTGGCAGTGTGCAGTATGTCATGTTGGGGTGGTGCCATCTGTCTGATTGCTGTTATTAAAGAAGTGGATTAAAAGATATCATCACTGGCAACCTGAAGATGTCTCTTCCACACCAGCTTGGAGTATTTTTTGAACTTTTGCCAGTGCTTTTCTGTATACAGTTTCATTTTGGCTTTCAGCACAGTTTCAACATGGCTCCATGTGATTTATACTGAGTGGGCAAAGCATTCACGTTGTTGGTCCCAAGGCAAAGGGGACCTTTCAGACAGGACCTGCTGCTTGCTATTCCGAATTCATGGACAAGAAGGGATTTTCAGGTTCTTGCAAACTAAATTCCATTTGTTGGATGAATATCCCAGATTTACCTACTGGCAGTATAAAAGCTTCACCTGCAACCACTTAGAGACTGCTTGTATTTAAATAGAGCAGATCTAAGCTAGAGAAATCAATGACAGCCTTTCTGTTTACTTCTGTAACTTTGATTAAAGGTGAGAGTAAGCACCATCACTCTCTGTTCCCACCTATACCATTATCAGAGTATAAAGACCTTATTTTCCTATTTCATAAAGGTGGGGGCAGTCACAGGAATTAACTGTTTGCTTCTTTCGGTTTGATCATTACTACGAAAGAGTGGAGCAAGGGCCATATCCACAGAAGCAGCTTTATTGCAGACACTCCAAATGGAATGAGACTGCTCACGTTTTCTGCCATTTTCTCCCCTTTCTTTTCTAGGAGTACGTAGCCTACAGTCACACTGGCCGCATTATCCCAGCTATCTGGTTTCGGTATGATTTGAGCCCCATCACAGTGAAATACACAGAGAGACGACAGCCTTTGTACAGGTTTATCACATCGGTGAGTTACTCTAAACCTCCAATTCTCCTGTCTTCTGCCTGCCTTTAATTTCTCTTCTGAGTCTTTCTTGTCCAGAAGAATTGAGTTTCTGCTTCAGAGCATTGTGACATGATTGAAATAAAGCAGTACGTCACCCAATTGTACTGAAGGTACCAGTGGGGTAGCTGGTAAGCCCTATGCTCTGACAATTTAATTTGGTAGTTAGGCACAAGAAGGAAGAATATGATCCTATTCCAGAAGTGCCAAACTCTGTCTAGGCATGATGGGCACTATTGCAGCATGCCAGAAACTTGGAAGTAAAGCTGATATGGTATGCAGTAAAGCATCCTGCAATAAGCTGTCTCTCTAAGGTCTAACTTGCAGAGAACGCAGAGCAGTTGCTTTAATCAGTGCTGCGGCTTGGCTTAATATGGGTATGTTTGTTCCAGGCATTTACTGCTGGGTAGAAGTGGAGAAGAGCTGCATTATCGAATTCCAGAGGTGTTTTCCTGATAAGTTATGTTTTGATCTATCCAGCTAACATCCTGCAGTACTGATCTCAGCATCTGTAACAAAGCTGTACTGTCCAAACTGCTACTTAGGCTAAGAGCTATTTAAAGCTCTTCTAGAACTTTCAAAAATATGTCCTCATGGAGTTGACTTAAAATTTAAGCTGCAGCCTGCTGTGCCAGTGAGGTGGAATGTGAAGTAGATGATAAATTGGCTGGAATGAAGACCTCAGGTTTTGAGTTTTAAACTGTTTGAATATTTTAATTGGAAGTAACCTAAACAGTTGTGGCTGTGTTGCACTTAAAGATTTTGATTTTTGCAGCTTCTGATAAACACCAAGTTCCCTTCACTTAGCTTTGGAAGCACATGTGATGTCTAGGATAGACAAATACCAAGGGAAAGGGACTTGAAGCAAATCTAAATGTCATGGTTGAAGACCTTCTCTTCTTAGCACGTCTGTTTGGTTTCAAAATATAATCCTAAAAAAGGTCAAACATCAGCATTTTATGACTTGGCATCTCATACTGCCTCCACTTCTTTCCC